TGAGGAAGCAAGCACAGACCTGCACGGGATGGTACGACCTTGGTACACGGCGTACACGGCTAAGTCAATAAACTGTGTGACGCAACGTTACTAGTGCGTTGGACTGACGGAGAGAACCGATACGCGGCACTCTCTACCGTACTCTCTCGCTCGCACGCCTTCCCCCATAGACCACTGATATTCCTCGGCATGCGTCAACACCGAGGGAGAGCACTGATACCGCGGCTCGCTCTACCGCTCTCGCTCGCACGCCGTGACGTCACCCGATTCCCGGAATCCCGCGGCCCACTGATGCCAGAATCGTGAGATTTCCGCGCGAGCGTATATCCTCTCCATACCTCCCGTGGGTATTCTACACAAGCATATTCTAGCCTGTCCGTGTGAGCTTTGCCCCCACTACGTCCTACTCGGTGACACCTCCAAGCGTTTCTATCTCTGTCGTGTGCGCTCTGCTTTGGGTGTTCTCGGTAAAAGTTCTACATCACGCGTTTACGACGCAACGGCCGAGTGGCTCAAGCCGGGTAAAGAATCCCAAATCCCAAGCAATCTAAACGCCGAGAGTCGAGAGCAGCATGAATTCTCTAACACGCTCATGATGAAGGCCCCGTCCAAAACTTCGTTCGAATCCCGATGCGACGGTTTTACTTTTTATTTTTAATTATTGTGTAATTTTAGTTTGTAATTTGACAGTAAAATAAAAGGTTCAAAACTATTAATTTAAGAAGCATTTTACAAGAATGGGAGATTTATTTATTCCTCTTTAATATTTAAGTTTTATATTACACAAATCATATTCTCTTATATATACATAAATTATTCGTTCAATTAGATGTTACCTTCATTCTAAGTACTGTCTACTTTATACACCGTCCTTTAGATCCATGGTTAAAATGAAATGGCAGCGCTATCTGTGCCACAGGATATAGTACTAAATGGCTAGGAACTTGAGCGTTTTGCTATTGATGTCACTGTTACTCACTTTTTACGTTCAATTTCTGTTGTATTGACAAAATAGTACGCAGGCTTCGTAATGGCGGCTTACAGTGTTAGCACATGGTTGATTTTGGAATAATGAATAGTTTAATATATGACAGATAGTCGATACATTTTTTAATATTTTACATATAGTTTTTGGTATCTATTAACAGAATTTTTAAATATACAAGTTTCTACGTGTTGGATTTTCTGTAAGAATAAGGTAAAGTTATATATAAATTTGGTCCATTACTTTTATATCTTTTTCTACTTTCATTTTATTATAATATTTTATTAAAGATTAAAAATGGCTACGTCTCTCGCGGCACAATTAAAGAAACTTAGAGCACCACAGACTAATGTACTGCTGCAAGAAAAGAAACATCCTAGCCTGCTATTTGATCCGAGAGAAGCTGCTAATGTAGATAGAGAAACAGTTTTAAGCATTGGTATGGTATTGAATATTCATTTTGTTAATTACTAATTGAATATGCGTATTTCTTGTTTGTACGATAACTTTAATCTTTATGTAGGTCAAAATGGGTTGTTGGAACTGGCTAAGCTATCTGATGTATTTTTAGAATTTGAAAGGACACTCTTTGCACAAAGCTCACTGAGTCTTGAACGGTCTGTTCAAGATGTTAAAGTTAATAAGAAGCTGGATGGAGAGATAGAAAGGTTTCTTATTCTCCTATCCCCTTATTTTCTACTCAATAATGCTCACAAAGCACTTGAATGGTTGATACATAGATTTCGTATACACGAATACAATAGAGATCAGTTTTTATTACTAATATTACCCTATCACGAAACTCGAATGTTTGTAAGAGCATTACAGTTATTAAACCTATCAGATGAAGCCGATAAATGGCATTGGTTGGCACCTCTTCAAAAGCCTGGTGTTCCTCTAGCAACCATAACACTCATCAATCGCCTGAGCTCTGATAATGGTCTATTAAAGCTTATTTGCAGTCATGTTGTCACTGCTACAAGAGTATATTCATACAGAGCAACATGTCTGAGCACTTTATACGCATTTTATACTACTTCTATTTTAGGAACTATTAATCAGTCACCTACAATGTCCGAAGTTCAGGTAAATCATATATTACCAACCATTTTGAAAGGCTTAGAAAGTTCTATAGCTGATTTTGTAGCTAGTACTTATATGATCTTAGCGATTTTGATGAACAAAGTGATGATGAACAATGAGACTACAGAGAAATTGCTCCTGAAAATGTTTAAGAAAACCTACTTGAAAGAAGAAGCATTGATTTTACTATTTTTCCTGTACAATGTGCCAGTTTATCGACTCGCCACAGTTTCAAAGAGCCTCGCGATTCGATTGTCAGAACTTCCTTGGTTTATTCAGGTAACGACGAAGCTTCAGTCGTCTAGTACAAATATATTAAAGTTTATTGTACCTCTGCTGCAAACTAGTTGCCGCGTGATCTTGGAAAACCCGTCAAAAACATCGAAAGTTCAAAATATGGTAAGTGAGATCCTGACAAAAATAAAATTGGATAATAACGGGGTGGATAGTATTTTATGGAATGTATTGGAGAAAGAATTTCTGATGGACAACATGTCGAGCATAGCCAAGGATTTTTTAATGCGTTTATATCAGTGTTTTGAAAAAGTGTATCCCGAAAGATTCGATGATTATTTGAAGCAGCTTATGAAACGTAGTGACGGGGATAAAAATTCGAAGCTGGCATTGCAATTCTTTACGTCGTGGCATTTCGGAGCCGGTGATATTCAAGACTCTGTGGGCATTCTGGACAGATTAATTCACATCAGTTCGGAACGGAGGATTATGGCATTGGAAACCCTAGCAAAAAACAACGTAAATATTCCGGAAAGTTTCCAAGAAATGATGACGAACGCATTACAAGCTAGGTTTAGCGACAGTGATGTAAATGTGATCAAAGCTTTACTGTCTATGCCTACAGAACGGTTAACGAGTCTACTTCCTATAGACATTTTGATCGAAGAGCTGAAAGTGTTGCTTTCAACTTGTCATACTAACAGCAGGAAAGTATTGGCAAAGCCTGCCCTTAAGATCCTTTTGGATCTCTGTGACGTCGGAGACGACACCAGCGTGTTTATCACAGCTCTACCATATTTATTCCCGAGCGATGACGCGGCCGTATCTATTGCTATGGAGGTATTAAAGTCAAATTTTGCCAAGAAAAACGCGTACATGAAGTACGTAGAAAAGGACTTGGGCAGATCACCTAATGCGGAGGCAGTAACATCTGCAGCTTTCCACAACATACTAATTTCGAGAGTATTGCCACCGACTGATAGTATACTGAGTGCCATGAAGCAACAAATTGCTCATGGGGATGCAGGATCGATGTTCTTTAGATTGATTCTTTTGGGATCTGTGTGTAGGGTACCTGTCGGGTCATTGCAACCTGAAATAGCAAGGGAAGTCATTGAAATGGCTACAGCGATGATAAAGAAGTTCCCGAAAGTGAAACTGTTACAGAATTGTAATAACATAACAGGACACAATATACTGTTGGCTATTGAGCTGACATCACAAGGAGTGTTACCGCTCCAAGTGGCCACTTACGTTCTGGAAATGGTTCACAGACGTTTAGACCTGAAATTGAATAATATATTTGATTTTGAAAACAAACCACATCGAAGTAATTTGATTCTAAGACTCCTTGAAATGTTCTTCGAGGGAATAGACAATAAACACTGGTCCAAGCATTACTCGCGATGCTTGCAAATATTCTTTCAAAGACACTTCGCAACGGTGAAAGATCTTATTCGATTTTTGTCTCAGTTGTATATAAAGCCAGTCAAAGTTCAAACATCGTATCACTGCCTGAAAATAACTCTGGTGCTTCTGGATCAGTGTAAATCCATGCGGTGGGCGTTCCAAGATGAAATTTTTATAACGCACTTGTTGCTCGCACTTTCTCGAGAGAACAATGTGTGCCGAATAGCTGCGATAGACGTTCTCAAGAAGCTTATGCAAACCTTCAACTTGATAACGGAACCATTCTCGGCGTTGCTGCAAGAATTAGTGAAGCGGAGTCCCGAGATATCCTTAGATCCCGATCAGTTGTCCTTGTCTTTGTATGTTTTACTTTCACCAGATCCAGATGTGAGCACACAATTGAAGTCTGATTTGCGAAAGAAGCTCCAAGAGGCGCAACAGTTACTATTCCAGCAGATCATGTATCCTGCTGCGCCTATTCACATGAAATCGCAATTGTTGGACATTCTGGTCCACGTGAATGGGCCAAAAATACTTCAACAACTGTCTATCTTTGGATATCACCTTCTACGCACCCAACTCATCAAATCGAACAACAAATCAACTGGAAACGCTCTGAAGAATATTCTTCAGAGATTCAACAGTGCAACAGTACCGGCTCTCACTATACAACAAGTCTGGCAACTGTTCGAGGCCAGCATAGTCGAGCACAAGGCTGAAATAATCACGGAAACAGGGGTGCAACATCCACCAAGCATCATTGTCTTGAAACAGATAGAACAGACATTCTTCGAGAGTGCTGGCAAACTGTCCCCTGAACTTCAGACGAAAATTCTGGCTAAACTAGTGGATGTGGTCACTGACTGTGATATGAGTAATATAATTTCGACCGCCAACAGAGCTATCAGGAGGATCAGAGTGAACGCACAGCTAATAGCCAACGAACTACAGAAGATGAGAAATCTGAAAGACGAGCAGCCAAATGATGCCAAAGTAAAGATCAAGAAACGATTGAGCCATGTACGATCCACGCCCGATCCAACCATAATTAATAGACGTGAATGGAAGCGTGGAGTTACACTCTTGGAATTCGTGCAAAGAGCCGATAACATCGAACAAGAAGAACTGCTTTATCCGATCTTGTTTGATTTACTGAAAACGTGTCTCAGCTTCGAGGAACAGAGTCCGATAGAGTACACTAACCAACTGTTGTTGTCTACGATTCATAGGCTAACCGTGAAGAAGTTGCCAATTCGGGACGCTCATCTTCAGGTCGACTTGATCACCCAATGTATCAGGACATCGCGTAATCCTCAGACGCACCATCATGCTTTGCTGGTCTTAGTGGAGTTGCTGAAGGTTGTCGACGTTCGCTGCGCCCTCTACACCATCATGCCCATATTTACATTCATGGGCAGTTCTGTGGTGCGCCAGGATGATGCTTATTCGATACAGATCATCTCCAAGACCATCGAGACAGTGGTCCCCATCATAAACGCAGCCGAGAACGAGACTCATGCTTGTGAGGTCTTGAGGACATTCATCGTTTCCCTGCCCGACATTCCTGAGCACAGACGAACACCTCTGTTCGTGAAGCTGTTGCAGCTACTGGACAATCATTTGCATTTGTACTATCTGTTGACGTTCGAAAGTCACGTTGTGTCTAGAACAATGCGTATCACCAACCAAAAGACACCCAGTCAGAGACTTGAGTTCGCTCTACAGGTGTCCCAAGAGTTCCCGCCAGCTAGGTGCGTCCAGGTCTGCGTGAAATTGGCACAGTTCATGAAGGAACTACCAATTGACATCGAAGGAGAGGAAGATCGAAAAGCTGCCTTATCGTTCAAGTATAAACATATCTTCGACGTAGCTAACAGCAATCCCAAACACTTGAGGCACTATAAGTATACTCTTGTCCAGTTTCTAAGCAAGCTGTTGTCTTCCCCAGACTTCATCAATCGTGTAGCAGAATTAGATTCCACCGAAGCGTCCCATTGGAAAGTATTGGAAAGTTCTTCTGCATCACTTGTACGATGTGCTGGATTTGGTGAACAATCTTCTGCCGAATGGAATCTTCTTGATCAGTGTGACACTTCTGATGGAACATGAATTGGTAACAGTAAAGAGAAAGGCTCTGGAACTTCTGAACACACGGCTTCAACAACGCAAGTTTGGGGAGGAGGATCATCCTGACCTGCTGAGTTTGATCGAGGCTCTTCTGAATAGTGTTCAGATTCGGGCGAGGTCCGAGACACAAGAACAGGATATCGTTCAACAGACTGTTCTGATTACTCTGAAGCTACTGGCCAAGCTATTGGCTACTGAGCATCCTACAGTGTTCAAACCGGTAAGTGAGAAGTTATTTGATACTCTAGTTCTCGAAATGCACATTTTCAACCGTGGATAGTTCTGCACTATATGTTTTACGACTATCTCTTTCAGATCCTTGAGATGACCACCGAACTTCTGACAGCAAGAGAAGGCCCAGTACTGGGCAGCGCAGTGCTCTGTGTTGCAGAACTTTGCAGCTCTATGCGCATTCACGCCATACAAAGCTTGAACAAATTCGTACCAGCAATATTGCAATTACTGGAACATCATTGCCACCAAGATGTGCCCGATGTGATAGTGGTTAGCATAGTCAGCGCGTTGCAGAAGATAGTCGAGTCCGTGGGCAACTTTTTGTCCCTGTACCTGGACCAATTGCTGTTCGAACTTGCCAGATTGAATTCCTTGTACACCGACACTGAACACCCAAAGATTGGCATAGTGGTGTCAAGATTAAGGGCTACAACACAAAGACTGTCTGGTTGCATACCATTGCGAGTATTGTTACCAGCAGTGAACAGGACATACGTCACGTTGCTTTCCAAAAAGTCGTATCGGTGTATACCAGCGCTCATGACCGTGTTGGCGGAATCCTTTAACAGTGTTCCGCCGGCTGACTTGAGCGCAGCCATTCCAGATTTAGGCACCTTCTTCCTGAAAGTCTTGCAGTTCCGTGAAGATATCACCAACACCGCGAACGATATGGAATTAGACGATGCAGAGTTGACCCTGAAGGATGTGGTAGTCGTAGAGGAGAGTGCCAGTAAAGCGTTGGTTGCATTAGTTTTGAAGCTGAGCGAGGCCACCTTCAGGCCTCTCTACTACAAACTGTACGACTGGGCTGCCAGGAATCCACAGCATAAGCAACGAAGCATTAGTTTCTACAGGTTTGTTAATCACGTCATTGTCTCGATAATCCGTTCGAGTGATAATTATTGTCTCTGCTTCGAATCTGCTAATATTTAGTGTGCTCTGACAATAGATGTACGATGATGAAAATTCTCCATTGTCCATTCTAGACATCATCCTTGTGCTCTTATTGTTAGTGAAAGGTTTTGTGAATTACTTTCAGTAAGAAATTACTGATTTTCTTTTACAGACTCTCGGCCAACATAGCGGAATATTTGAAATCGCTCTTCGTACTATTCGCTGGCCACTTCCTCAAACATGCGGCAGTATTATTGAACAGTAACAATCCAGCGATCATGGACGAGCCTCAGGAAATGACGTTACCGGAAGAATCTAACCAAATCGAGTTGGTCGAGGCCATTTTACTGACACTATATCGGGTCTTCAGTTACGATGCTCATAATTTTGTAAATCAAGAGAGATTCGAGACACTGGCGCAGCCTATTGTGGAACAGTTGGAGAACACAGTGGGTGGCAGAGAGGAGTATGAGAAAAGGGCAAACGAATTTGTCGTTCCTTGCATTGCAGCCTTTGCCACCGCTATTCCTGATGATTCCTTGCATAAACAACTAGTCTACCAGACGCTGCTAAGGACTAGACATGCTAAACCTTACGTTAGAAGTGCTGCATTGAATGCATTGGTAAGTGAAGGTTAACACTGGGTATCTTTTATAGTTGTTTTGATGTTCAAGACTTGGTTAACATTTATATGTAACTACAATACTTTTGGTAACATAACAATAGCGGAGGAAGTTTATAAAATAATTATAAGCTCAAATGACTTAACCTATTAGCAAACTATTGAGACTTCTGGAAGCAACAACGAGTGATTATTTTTTTAATTGTTTTTAATACAGGTTGAGATTGTAAGGAAGCTAGGAGAAGACTTCATGCCATTATTACCAGAAACTATACCTTTCTTAGCAGAGTTATTGGAGGATGAAGATGAAGCTACAGAGAAGGGCGCGCAAAACGCAGTGCGCACGCTCGAAGAGATCTTAGGGGAACCGTTGCAGAAGTATTTCTAAACTGGCCGTAGCGTCTACAACCGTGTATAAACGTGAAACTGTGTATATGTAAATTGTAGTTAATAATAAAAACAAATCAATATTTACTTCGTATCATTATAATTCTTCCTCTTAACACCACGAGGAATTGTGCTTTCTAATTTCTGATTAAAAGTTCACACAGTAGTCAAGATTTCAAAGCAAAATCCTTAAAATAAACATTTGGATGAAGTAGGAGACCAAAATATTAAGAAAACATCCGTTTATTCTTAACTTAGTCGCAATTTGGACGAAATATAGAATATATTATTTCCTTACATTATAATACATTATCGTAAATGGGTGTGTGTGTTGTATGCACGTCAAATTGTGGCAGCACTATAAATAGGCGCCTGAATTTAAACATTGACAGCGAATTTATGCGGGCGAGATGCACGCATTTTTATAGTCTTTCTTTCAAAGCGTCCCCGAGTATATATATATATATATACGCGCAAACCGTTTCTCATTCACGCAATCATCTCTCTTTCCACGAAGAACATTTAAGTGACATGATAAAACACGAATTTCGACGATTTCAAGAGACAGCCACATTCCCCGCGACTCAAACGTTCAAGCTGAAAGAGAACACAGTCGACCCCCCTGGACGATCCACCCCTAGATCGACTGTGTTTTGGAGATCATCCTCGTAGAAAAATGCAACATAGGCCCTCCTTCTCGCTGACGTTTCTGCTGGCATCGTGAACTGAATCCCCCCAATTCTGACACGAATCACACTTGTGGCATCTCTGCCGGGTTCCGTAGCGCCATCTCCTCGCCTTGCTCTAACGATGGAACTTTCCTACGAAGCAATTTTAAAAGAGATTATGTTGGTAAAACAGTTTCAGATGCTTTTTCAACCACGTACAGTTGCTGCGATTTCATTGATTTTTCATGTTGAATAATTCTTTATCGAAGACAGAGCAACATTCTTCTCAAGAAGCTAAAAGCGTTTTTACTGTACGTTTTATTAGAGTATAAAGAAGTGTCCGTATGCGGTTTACTAACCTCTTTCTGTATTGAAAGATAATGTAGACGATGATGGCGTTCCCAACGAACAGCAGAGCAATTAGGACGGTTGGCAAGACAACGTCTGTAAATGATTGAAACAAAACGAGGCGATTAGTGAAATATGTATCGTGCATAGACGGTATTAGTGCGCTCGCTGTCCATCGCCATCTTGGTTCACGGTTCCGAGTGTGGCATAGTAAACTTTGAACGAACGCTGACTAATCGGTCGAAGTTTACCGTTGACGCGACCGTGTTCGTGACGATTGCCCCTCAATTTAGGGTAGGTCAATTGCAATTAATAGAGACATCGTGTTTTTCGTCGTGCCGAGTCATTGTTGCCGCGTCACGGGTGAAATTGAGGAGCCTGGTGGGTCAGGGAAGACTGAAAACTATTAGGTCAGATCACTTTCCGTTTGTTTTTACGCGAAGAAACAATTATTAGCCAAAAAATGTATAAGTTCTGTATATGGATATAAAATACAATATAAATCACGACACATAACTGTCTATAAACCAATAAAGTACAAAACGATATTTATGGAAATACTTTCCTCATGACTCAGAAGACATCAGAAATAATTCAATGCCATCTTTTAAACCAGTTTTCTGTCAGCTGAATTACAATGCAATGAAAAGGCCTGAGAAAAAGAAGAAATTCCAACAACAAGGACGGACGATGATGAATGAAGCCCGATGAACTTGAACTTGATCTATATTTATCGCGCATCAATTTTAATAAATTACGTTATTCTTGCCTCCTGACCAGCCACGACGATCGTGGCCGTCATTTAAGACGAAATCGTCAGAAATAAACCGAACAGGTTGAACCACCATATGTATTCCCTGAATACAATACTTATTATTTTTTAACGATCGAAGCCTTGAATAATAAAATTTCCAATCAGAAACGAAGTATCAGCGGCATTCGTTTATTGAAATGCAAACGTCGTCGATACTTTTTTTTCCAAAATTAATTTCTTCCAGATCAGTTATTCGTCCATCAACAATGAGGTATAACGTACGCAGTTATCGAAGTGTAATTGACCGGAGAAGAAACGATGCGAATGCAAAAACGTAAACAATGAAAGCGGTACGATAAAGAGAACTGGGAAGTTCTCGCAATATCATTAATACGCGTTATCTTGCGATGTTAATTCCAACAAAACAAGGCCAATGGACTGCAATATCCCTGATAATTATTCCGTAACATTATGAACCAACTGCAGACTTATTTGCTAGAATTAAAACTTAACTAAAGAAGAAAATTGGACACTATTGTCACTTGAAACAAAAATAATTGACTGACATTCGACCGTATCTAATAATCAATGGCGAAAGCTGTAATCAAGCTAATAAGTGCAATGACATACACGCTTCTGTGTAACAAACAATTACGTTGCATAACACGAACAGAAAATCAGTCAAGTCGTAACTTCAGCGAGCGTCACCTCTCGGTTATGCAACAATTATGATGCTCCGTCAAGAATTTTCCTTGGAATATTCGACATAGGTGTTCCGCAGGCAGAATACTTTTACCGAGGCGATGCACGTGTTATCTTATCGCGAAGGCAAACGAGGTGCCTGACAGAACGTGACTCCTTTGCCACCATACGGTTTTCATTATATCCAACTATATCTCACTTTCATTTCCACACAGCATGTACGACACTACCTCAAATCTTAGGTCAGGTCACGAAACTGCACCAACAACAATACTGGATACAATTGTGGATGAATCTCCGAGTATTTCACATGTTTGACGAGCATCGATCGTTCGAACGACGTTTCCCTCTTGGGCACAACTTTTCACCGAGAATTCACATAAGATACATTCGAGAACAGCGGTGCCCATTCTAACCCCTTGCCTTATGATTTTTTCGACGACTACAATTTCCAGAATTACTTTATCGTCAAGAATTTCCCAGGAATAAAATAAATTCTGTCTTTATTGCAAGTGTGCAATAACTCGAAAACTTAAATATTAATACCAGTAAAAGAGTATCTCTCTTCGACTTGAAGAAAAGGAATAACACTCAGGTTTATTAAACCCTCTCTGTATTCGTCAACACGAGTCTGACACGATGTTATAAGGCAAGGGGTTAAATAACCCCCTTGAATAGAGTGGTGTAAGTCGAAGAACCAAATTGAGTTTTTCTCCCGTTTACATCGATTTTTATTCTAATATTATGAGGGAATTTTCGAAAATATATTACTTAAACACCACTTTTATAATCACAAGACACACTAACACCAAGAAACTCTCACGGCACAGACGGGAACACTAATCCCAAATAAACTGTATTAATGTGTCGATGTTAATTGATTTCAACGTAAATTCGACCGGTTAGTTTACTTTGTTCGATGAATGGGAGAATTTGTTTCCGAGCTCGGGGCTCACTGACCTACGACGTAGTCCGTTTGCTTCATCATGGCTGATTGAGACGAATCCATAATCTCCCTGGTGCCGACCGCGACTGCGTCCTCGCCCCGTCCGATTCTAACCCCCGCCCCGAGAATATTGTCCCCGGACAAGGACGACAACCGGTGGTGGTCGTGTTCCGTTTTCAGGATAACCGCCGACGTGGCTGCAAAACGAGAAGCAATAAAAGTGTTACACAATCTGTATGAAAAATATTTTCAACTGTTTCGTTACCGAAGGTGATTATGTATAGTCACGTCGTGCGTTCGCAACGTACTCTCAGAGGTGACGGAAAGCAATAAAAGTGGTTACATAAAGAGTGTGAAAAATGTTTTTTTAACCCTTTCGTTACTAAAGGTCACCGATCGTCGAGTGTTCGATGTGTACTTAAAGGTGACGAAAAGCAATACAAGTGTTGCATAACGAGACTGAGAAGTGATTGAAACTGTTTCTTTAGTATCGATGACTATAGTCACCCACCGTCGAGCGGTCGTTGTGTACTTAACCCTTGTGTGGGCAACCAGGTACTCAGGTACCCATTTCTATATTTCCTTTCACAATTTATTTTCTTGTCTAAAACAGCACTTTGTTATTATAGGAAGGGAAAACTAAGAGTTTTAGGATAGTATAGGAGTAAAATTATCTATGTTTATCTCATCTGTCAGAATAGGATGTTTGAGGTACTCCCATTGCTCGATAATCGTGAACATTTTAGTTGCCCATACAAGGGTTAAGGTGACTATAGTCACCCACTGTTGAGATCTTGTATCCTACAGTCAAAATTTCGCATTAGGTAATAATTTACGTAAATTTAATTGATCACGGAATAAATTCACTATAATAAACGGATTGAAAGAGCAAAAAATGAAGTGTGCGATGGTATTTCCGAAGGTACAACCGAAAATATCGGTATTTTACGTTTCGGTAGAATTCCCTGGTTTCCTCTCATCCAGGGTATTATGAAAAAACATGAAACGAGACCAGAATATTCGTTTATTTTTTTATCTCTCTTCGACTTTTCGGTAAAAAATCACGTAAATATTGCCTGAAAAAAATTCAGTCGGTCGTGGCGACTGTTGATCTATTCTGGAATCGGTGCCTGTTTACGCAAACAGGTGCCAAGTTCATTAATGTTTATTACGAGTGAGACAAGAACGTTAATGACGTAATAAGAAATACTTATTGCATTAAAATGTTCGCCTTAATGAATCTATGGAAAAAGATTGTAGCCTGTGTTCACGCTTTATGCTCATGTTAACACGACATTAAAAATGTTGTAGGAAACTAGTTTGCTTGTATGAATAATTGATTTACTTTTGGAATACAGTACCAATCGTGACCGTGTAACGAATAAGCTGTATTCGTACTATAATTTTTACTTCAATGCTTGTTTGCGTGTTAGGTAATCAATAACACATTTTTGCTTAACAACATTCATCGTTGATCTTCGCTATCTAACGCCATTTTTTATCAAATATAGGATCAGAAGGTTGTACAAACCTTTTATTTAAATTCCTTTTATTTTAATATAACCTTTTATATAAATAGTTAAATTTCCAAATGAAGACTGAGAACATTGCAATGGATAATCCATGAAACGAGTAGCATCAAAGTACATTTTGACGTGTATCGTTCGTTAATTAGCGCTGATAATCACCAATACTGTTCCGAGACACGCTTCTAAATTCGCAGAACGAGTTCGTATCGAAGCACAACTTCGCGTACTTTCTCCGTCTCGAATCCACAGAGCGTTCTTCGCGAGGTCAATTCACAATGCCTCGCTATAAAATACCAATCGTTCGTGTTCTTCGACGAGGACACACGGTCCTTATCGAGTCAGAGACGAGAAACGGAAACGCCAAGTTTACGAATTTCCGACACTTCGATTAGCTGTTAATTTCAAATTCAAATTATACTGTCCGTATATGGAACTGTGACGCATTGTCTTTGAAACAATTGAGAAATTTAGTATTCAAACGAAAGGAATATTGTTTCGCGAGTTGTTTATTCGACTAGTATTATTCGTGCAATTTAAACGATTCGTGTAATAAAGATCTCAGTGATAGTGGTCACGAAAAAATCATTAATTAAAGACAACTCCACTGGTCATTTGTTAGTACTTGAACGTGTTTGCATATCTGAATTGGGTCGTTAATTCTGAAACTGGTCCGACAAATAACATTTATACATATGTATTCTTCCGTCCATAAGTCAACTGACATTTATGCTACTAAGCAGTGGAATAAAAAAGAAATCAAGTTAAAAAATTACTTAATTACGAAATAAACAAATTCTTAACTTCGCAAATTGCAGAAGAAATGTAAATTATATTCAGTAATGTGAGTAATAGTAAATCAATCTGTTCATTATATTCCGGAATATTCATCCAAAATGAACACGTATTCCTAGTCTTTTCAGAAATCAGTGCCAGAATTATTCGATTATACTGAATTGGCTCGACTGTGGACAGTTGTTATAAAACGTACAGCTGATTAATATTTTGTAACTTTTTTTTTAAGTAATTTTAACAACTGTTCGAGGTATGTTTAAGATCACTATCTTATAGAAAAACAAAATAAGTTTCGGCTTCCATTTATCTCGAAACAATCAAGTGTCCAACGACTTATGGACGGGAGTGTATATTTCTATATAGGAGAATCTGACATAAAAGTTCTATTTAGTAACGTTCCTAGAATATACAGACTTGAATAAAGACTCCCTTAGCTCGAGAGATATCGCTTCAGAGTAAATATTCAAAACGACCGCCATTAAATGGAGTGGAAGAACGCTCGGTAGAGAAACACAAGTGCTACACCTCTGTTCCAAGTAGCGCAATTCGAGACGAATAACGAGCAAAACGGTTCTCCAAGGCGTGTATTTTCCCGTAACCCAACGGTATTTCCATCTGAACGGGGCGTAAGGAAAAATCATGTTTCAAAGGAATTCAGTTGATTAAACACATTACCGTGACCACGGTGCCTCACTTTGGTCGCTTTCCGCGGCGTTTAATGATTTAACGACTCGCGGAAATATGATGTTAAGATCGTGGATCGAGAGTACAGAGTCCACTCGACGCATGGTTACGATTGAACGAAAAAAAAAACGAGCGAAAGGAATAATATAAAATATATTAAATACAATTGTAATAAATGACGCAGTTAATTCCGCAAACGCGTCGTGGGTCTTCACGTGGTCGCCATTTTGAATAAAAAGACATCGTACCCGTCACATCGCGGAATAATGAATCGACAGTACAATACAAATAAATTAAATATTAACGAATAATTGAATAATTTCATGCGTTCGACGAAATGATTCTTTTTAAAGGTTCCGATAAACGAAATTTATTCTTAATTAACGAGCATCGAGATTTGTCCTTATCCCGGCCAATTTGTCGATAGTCGAACTTTTTCGCCTCGTCGAACAAGTTATTGACCCAATTGCAGCGATATATTTTTCCGTTGCACCTTTATCGACGGGCCGCTATTTTCGTCTCGTATTTATCTACAGTAATTGAAACGTCGTAATTCGACGATGTTAATGCAACGATCGCGATTTACATCAATTAAAATAGAAACTATTCGTTCGCGTGTGACTGTGCGTCTCCATGGTATGAACGGACTTTAACCGCATTTTGGATCGCACGACTGGCCATCGGTTATTAATATCTCGACGTGTTGTTATTGATACACCGACGTATAAATCGGTATCACTGTCCTGGGCGTATCGTGTTTACCCATTACATTCTTGTTCTCGTCTTTCTCTCCCCTTTCAGGCTGTGTTACACTCAATTCCACAGCATTCTGAGTGTCCTACAAGGACAAAAAGCTACAAGAAGAATAATTCTTGAAGAAAAATTTCTTTGCAATCCGTGCTGTAGCAGCGAAATAAATAAGGAAATCGTTTACGGTTGTTCGGTCGGTAAAGTTTTGCTTGCATCACCTTAATGTTCAACTTTTTCAGAACATGGTCTGCTATTATGCTGGGAGTGGGGGCATCGAAATCTTTGAGGCGTTGAGTTGGAGTACGATAAAAAACGGTTGAAAAACACTGTTGTAGAGCCACCTATGAATCGGGAAACGTCCACGAAACTAAGAAACTTTTATAAAATATATTCTTGCACTACAATAACCTACAAATTCCTCCAAATCTAAACTTCGAAAATAATTCACGGACGATACATAATTAGAAGCAAAGACCTCCATGGTTCGTTAATAATCCGTAAGAATGCACGTAAATACAGAAAACCGTATCTAAATCGAGAAACGTTTACGAAACACCCTTATCGGGCAACAACAACGTGCTGTCAACGGCAAATAAGCTTCAACCATAATTCGGTGACCGATACGAAACGTGGAGGAGAAAAAAAGAAAATAAAAATCGATGGCGATTGCGCGCGAATCGAACGATCCGTTATCGCCTCTCGAGCGCGGGAAGGATTTCGATGAGGCACGCTCGATCGGTCTCGGGTCACCGCGTATCGCTGCTCCATTCTACGACCATCGTCTTCCGATTCACGATGAGAGCACGCGCCGTTCACGTTTCCCCCACTCTCTCCGGGAGATGTTTCCAGCATAAAAACGCTTCTTTCTTTCGCTGGGCAACGCGAAGAATCGTTCAACGGAACGTCTTTTTACGGCTTGCCTTGCACGCGAACAAGAAAGATATTCGATTCTTGAGAAGATCGATTTTCTTGGTAGCATGTCACTGCCATCTATAACACTAACGGCCAAAAGTATGGAGCCAGAACAGAGATGGGTAAATTCATTATCTAGATAAAAAGTTTCGAATAACGAAAATATAAAAAAATATTTCGTCATTTTTATTTGTTTGAACGCGGAAATTTTAATTTTTATAATAAAACAATACTTCTTTATGAATGAATCGACATTTGTCGAACAATTATTTAATCTTATTAACTGTTTAAAGCTTAGGATGACACCCTTAGATACTGCTGCTTTTCGCTGTGTATTATTCGAATAAAATTCTAGAATTCCGTTACCTTGCAGAACGACCGTTGCTCACCAGAAACTTTTGGTACTGTTGTTTCACCTGAGATTTACTTTCTTATCGGTGTGAGAGCTAATTATCGATCCTGATACGATCGATGGAGATCTTTCAACGTATTTAACCGTTTGTTAGTCGTCGTGGCGAGTGACACTGTCT